GAATAGCAGGATGCTGAGGATGAGGAAGAGCAGGAATAAACAGGAAATGGAAGAGGGCAAAAAGGGGGATAACGAGGAACATGACGAGGATGAGGAGGTTTTCGGCGGTTGTTGTTCGGCGGTTGTCGAAGAGTCTCTTTGGGGCCAGGTGTTGGCCCTCTTGGCGCACTCTCTAAAAAGCTTTGTGCTCGAGCTGTCTGCGTGCGTCTTGGATGCAATTTTCGAAATTCTTGGGGGCCTTTATGGGGGCTTCAGGGGGCCTCTTTCGGGGCCAGTTGGAAGCGTTTTGGGGCCTCTCCAGGCCTCTTGGGGGCCTCTGGGGGCCTGCAGGGGGCTTCTTGCGCCGTCTTCGGCAATTCTTCCGCCGTCTTGGTGCCCTCTCAGGCGCCTCTTGGGCCCGTCCTGGGACCCTCTTGGGCATTTCCGGGGGCCTCCTGGGCCATCTTGGGCCTTGTATGGGCCGTTTTGGAGCCCTCTTGACGGCTTCTTGGGCCGTTTTGGGGCTCCCTCGGGGCGTCTGCGACGCTCTGAAGGCCCAAGAGGCGAGTGTGCTAGATGTAAGCGTTTTTTATTCCAGGGAATGGGACATATTATTATTATTATAATTTGGGGCTTTTTTTGGGGAGGCCTTTTCCAGGGCTTCTGAGGGCATCTTGGAGGCTTCTGGAGCTGTCTTGGGGACATATTGGGCGTCTTGTAGCGATCGTTCGGCGAATTGGGGCCCTCTCGGCCCATGTTGGGGCCCTCCTGGGCGAGGGGACCGTCCCGGAGTGAGCTGGAGCTCCGATTCCGCCCCGGGAATTACATCGCCCCCCCCCTTCCCCCTACCCTGGCAGGGCCACACTGGCACCCACCCCCCAGTAGAGCTGAAGCTCAGGAACTGAGGCTCAGGCTGTTCGGAGGGTCTTTGAAACTCACACGCCGGATCGGCGGACGACAGAACTTTGCCAGGCAGCCATCGGCATTCTTCCACGCCTCAACGTGCCGCCGTGTCGGATTCATTTGTCTAGGAGTGTTTTCGTTGTCACCCGATGCCTGCCGCTGCGATGCCCGGCCAGGCGCACCTTCCAAACGGACGAGGCAGAACACAGGGTCAGAGAGTTCGTGGAGATTGCCCTTCTCGGACAGCTGCACCCCGATCGGCCTCTGCTCAAGAGGTTCGACGAGTGCAGTGGTGCTGTGTGCCGACTGACACGCCCCGTCGAGAATTTAAGATTTCGTCAACCTGCAACGGCGCCAATGCCATTCCGATGCGTAGTTGGTGCGGAAGTTCGAGTGGGAAGCCACAATTGCGACGACGCCGGAGACCAGGAAGTATGTTTGGCCCCAGTTGAAGCGAGCACATCGGGAGTGGTGGCAGCGAGTGCGCCTCAGAGCAGCGGATCTTGCAGGATTAAGAAGGCAGCTCAAGCTTTTTACGATCGAGGCGCGCAGCATACGTACAGTGCACTGCTGTATGGTAGGATTCTGTGGGGCCGCACAGCGGGAACGCGTTACAGCAGCAGGTACCAGGGGCCTCAGGAACCCTGGAGATGCCCAGGGTCGACGCGTGCGATGGCGCCTCGATGCGGCGGCCGAGGCATGGCGCAAGTTCCCAGGCAGAGTGCCCTTGTTCCTTTCGGTCAGGGGCAGGGGGGAAATCCAGCATACGTTCAACGGCTTCCTACTTCATGCTCCTACGCACTTCTTCCGAGCGATGGGCAACCGCAATGACCACAACACGCGTCTACCGGGGACGGGCGAGGTTCAAGCTTCGCTCTGCAACGGCAGCCGAGCACGTGGCCGACGAGATAGTATAGACAAATCCGCCTTTAGGTGTTGAAGCGATGCGCCAACTCTTCCAGGCTCGCTGTGCTAGGCCTACGTTTTCAACAGCTTCGCCTGGGCGCTCAAGCTGCAAGAGGACGCAGTTGCCCTCGAGCAGAGCCTGCGCAGCCCTCGCGAAGCCACCGGAAGAAGAGGAGAGCCGCCACCGAGATGGCGGCCACGCCATCGGCCACCGCAACGGCCGATGCGCCTGCGACCCGCTGAACTTCGACCGCCCCCTGCGAGGCCAGCCCCGTCGTGCGGTGCACTGGCGGCACCGTGGCGCTTGCGCCGCGTGCCTCTTGGGCGGAGGGGCCGGGAGGGCGTGGAACGGACTGAGGGTGAGCAGTGATGCAGTGGAGGGGAGGAGGATCGTCAGCGGCGCGCCACTATTCTACAAGGAGCCTCCGCTGCTGCTGACATCCCCCGCGCCGCAAGTGTGCGGGGGGTGCCCTGCGCCCAGGGATGGCCCTTTCTCCCCCTACGTGGACCTCGAATCAGGAGGTTCCTCCCTCTGGCCTCCCGTCTCCCTCGCCTCTCCGTCCCCGTCCTCTAGGGGCGTCCAGCGTCGCTGCTATCGCCTACGGTCTGCATGGGAGCTCGTGCTCTTGGGCACCATCGGGCGGGCACGCGCATGTACTGCTAGAGCCGCGTGGGCTGCAAGAGGGGATTGGAGATTCAGGGGGTGGGTGGGTAGGTGGGTGGGGGGGAGCAAGCGAATTCAATTTCAAGATGGCCACGCTTGCCGGCA